GATGATGTCTTTGTACCTAGTTCAGTGCATTGGCAGATAATCTATCGAAGTGTGGAAGTAGGGGAGACCTTCGTAGAAGGGCTGAAAGGGTTGTTCTTTGATGGGGAGGAGAATTTCAGCGATGATGAGGACGAGGACGAGATGGAGGATTGAGACTTCTGAGAAGGGGGGGGGACTTACCCAGGGAATGGGATGTCGGTTATGTGCAGGTAGGGAACGATGGCTCGGGAACTCCAGCTGTGGGACTGCACGTTCAAAGGGTGGGAACCAAGGCGAATTAGAGGGGGAGTAGAAATGCCCTTGCCGGCGGAATGTGAGTGGAGAGGAGCGACGTGTGACTGGGTCGGGCTTGAGATCGCACCGAAACTGTCGTATCTATGGATAGAACGCATATGGAACCCCATTAGGACCCCATTAGGGAGGAAGATGGATGGGAAAATATCGCAGAAGGAAAGCTGGAATCAGTTGGGACGGTCGTCTTATCAGAACAGGGATGACATCTGTTCTGCACCACGCTGGCGGCGGGGCAAGATCCGATGTGGCTTCTGGAGGGAACAGAGACAAGGACTCGGCAGGCGGGTGAGAGGTTTGCCAATAAGGAATGGGATGAGGTCCACAGTAAGGTCGTAATGGGGGGATGGAAAAAATTTAGGCCTCCCTGCCTGCGAAAAAGGATTTGGGTCCCCGAGTTTGTAGTGGACTGGTTTGGGGGGTTTGATCATGTTGCGGAAGTGGCTAGCACTATGGAACGGGTACACATAGACTATACATGGCTGTCAGAGGAGTTTTATAGAACATTACTGAAGTACGGGCCTTTCCATGGCGATAGAGCTTGGGAGGTCCTCATCATTTTGAATATGGATAGGTACGACCAATTAGAGGTAGCTCCGGAAATTAAGGAGTCTATAATCCGCCGGGAGGTAGCGACGACACCTTGTTATGTGGATGATGTGTTTAAGCTGTTCGAGGTACTGTGGTTCGACTAAGAGCAGGGAAAGCCGCGGGCCAGACAAGTGTAAAATACTACTGAGACAAGGGGTGGAATGTCTGGTTGTTGTAGGGATCATTGCGGCTTGCGGACTAGAAGACCAAGGACAGGCGTGCGATGGCACGGCGAAGGACGTTCCTTGAGGACCGCTCGTTGGGCATTGAGCCGCCAAGGGAGGTGGCTGGTGACATAGAAATTAGCCTACCTGCTGCAAGTGAGGGCTGGCACCCGGTGGTGAACTGGGTCGGGGTAGAACTCATGGAAAACACGGTTTACTTAGTGACGAGAATTGAGTGGCGTGCGGATGAAAACGGGGAATGGAACCCGGACCCCCGGGGACATGTGCGTGCGGAAGGTCGGTTGCATGTGTCCGAAGACGGGTGGCGGGCGTTCGGAGTCCTGTTGGCATCAGGGGAAGATCCGTTAAGTATGTTCGAGGGAGCATGGCAACTAGTGTGGCGGGTGGGGTTCGAATTCGCAGACCCGAAACTTGATGGCGTGACAGCTAACCTTAGAGTAGCCATGACCGAAAGCTTCGAGCTGCCTAGTGAAAACGTTCGGATAAGATTGCCACCCTGTTTGCTAGAAAGGTTAGGCGGGGTAGAGCTTGTCAGGAGGGCTGTGGCCGACCTCACCAACCTGACGTTTGAGGACGCGATGGTTCACCGAGAGTATTACCGGGCCTTCTTAGAAATGGGGCCGTTCAGCGGAGAGCAGAGGTATGAAGTATTGCGAATCCTGCGTGCCATATTTACCACCAGGCCAAGGGCTCCGGTCGTTAGCGACGGGGTTCTATGGGGCGTTGTTCGACGAGAGATAAATCGGGGGATGACTTACGTAGATGATCTGTACCGCTTGTATGCGCCAATGGAAGTAGAGACAGGCCAGTAGGAGAGACAAAAAAAAAAGGGAGGAATAAAAAGGGGGAAGGATATCGAAATTAAGGACCGGGGAGTTGCCCAGATGAGGCCGAAGAATGGATGAAATAAGCAAAATTCGCTTGCTGTTTAAACTGTGCAGGGGACCGCTAATCAACAAATGACGATGAGACGCACATGGATGTCGTGACGGCCCATGCACCCTCGGCCACCCACGGAAAGTGGAGGCGGATGGGAGGTATCGCTCCCGACAAGCTACATGGTCCGAGGAATTGACACCGAATGGAGAGCCACGACCTTGGGAAGGGACTAGGCGTTCATGATGGTAGAATGCTTGTGGAGTGGGATGAGGTTCGATAGGGGACCAGGGGACGACCTGTATATCGACCTAAAGGTGACAGAAACCGTATACTTGCCGGAGGTCGGATGGCACATGTTAGGGACGGAATTGGCACTAGGGCATGGGTTGTTACCAATCTTCCAAAGAGGTACTAGGATAGTGGACTGGATAGGTCAGGAGGTGCGAGGAAGAAGGAACGTGGGGCTTAGAACCCGGGTGGAGGTAGGAGGACGGCGAGAGTTTAAGGCCCTGATGACGCGACTGCGAGGCCGAGTGCCTCGCTTCATGGTGGACTTGGTATTTGGCAGCCTCTCAAGGGCAAGAAGCCTGGTGGAGTCGGCTTTAGTCTGGAACCACTACTTTCGTCCGCAGACGACGGGGATGTTTTACGATGTGTCAGTTAGGCACGGACCGTTTTGAGGAAACCAGGCCCGTGAACTACTCGAACTCATCAAAATCCTGATATGCGGGTTACCATGCATGACGTTTGAGGAATACGAACCAATAATTATCAGGGAAATAAAAATGGGAGAAAACTATCTTGCAGGGGTGGCCGATTTGCTTGAAGAACCAGATGAGCGAGACAGACCTGAGGGACCGGTGTGAGGAAAAAGTACCGGGGAAAAAGTAAAAGGTGAAAAACCGGAATGAGAAGCTGACTGTCAGCAAGGGAGTAGTGGTCGGAGTTCCGCCCTACCTGAGGTCGTGGCAGGAGGGAACTGGGAAGACCACCCGCGCTGAAGGACGCTGGGGGATCCGGGTGTCAGGAAGTCAAAAGGGCTACCCTCGAGGGGAGAGCCACTAGCCTCAGACACCGCCCTAAGGAACCGGGGCATGGCAATGACGAAACGCCAAACCTCGGCAGCGAGCCTTCCGACAGAAGAAAGACAGACCGGCACCCTGTAGGAAATTGTTAGGTAAGTCGTCCCGACAAAAATAAGACGACAAAATGTGGAAATAAGTAAGAATAAGGGGACCTTAGGGCCCGGGAACTAGGAAAGCCATGAACAACCGGCCGTTTCACAAAAAAAAAATTCCATGTGCAGGGTAGGTAAAGGGATGGTGTCAGAAGAGGAGGCCGAAGGGAAGAACAAGGGGAGTCAGGGCATGGATAGAGGTGGGGAACGAAACGAAGGGTCAGTAAGGGATCGAGAGTCGGCAAAACCAGAGGGGACTAGGGAAGACGGGAAGGACCTTTCGACAGGGGAAAGTTCGGGGAAAGCCGGGGGAAGAAAAAAAGGACCCCAACAAAGCAGGGAAAAAGGGGACAACGGCAGGACGAGTCTTTGAAATTCTGACGAAACCACACCCAAGAAAACGAAAGTCTCGGATGCACGTCGTAAGCTGTCAGAAATAGAAAGACGGACCACAGAATATAAGGCGAGGCTTATCGAGGAGATGATGGTTGGGAACGAGGGAGACCTTTTGGGAGAAGGGTCACGAGAAAAACGCAGGGTCAGTCATGGCGAAGTCAAGCTCGGAGGGAAGGACAATAGCCATAGGGGCACGCCCAGTAAGAAGGGTAAGGAAAAGGGGGACTCCCCAGCCGTAAAGGCGGAAAAGGCAACGACCCCACCTGCCATAGACAGTGGTACCAGCCGTTTATCCGCCACGCCGAAAACAACCAAGGCGTGCGACGAACTTTGGAGTCTCAGGGAAAGGGTGTTAGGTTGGTTTGATCCGGAGGGTACGCCAAAGGCCGGGGAAAAGCAGAGGGATACCAAGGAAGGAGAAGGGACCAGTGCGGTCGGCGAAATGGAGAACTCTGAAGGGGGTCTGAATAAGAATCAGGGGTATCTTGCAGATGCCAAGAAGAAACTTACCTTCCATGGGGCAAACATTACGGAGTTCCTGATAGACTACGAGAACTTGACAGCCTTGCTGAAATGGATTGAGGAAGAAAAAATGGATCACTTAGGGCAGCACGTGTCGCTGAGCCTGGGAAGGGACATTATGGCTATTGTCGCCTCTAGTGGATCTTGAAAAGAGACCCGGAACGAGATGATGAGGAAGTACCTGAAGGCAAAGAAAATGGCAACAGAAACCGAATTGGCGGCAGTCCAAAGGAAGAACTATGCCACTTACAAGGACTTCCTAAGGGCGTTTACTCTAGTGGCACTACGAGTTCTCGGGGTAACAGACCGTATAATGAGTGAGTATTTCCTCAGGCAGTTCTCCGAGTTCGACAAGGATAAGATTTTGTCGGCCTACCAGTAGACCAGTAAGTTCGAGTACACCAGGGACGTGGACTTTAGCACCGTAACAGACCTCGCAGAAAAGACAGTGGTGACCGATACGCTAGCCCTGCTTAAGGAAGGGGAGGTTATAGACTTGACTGGGAAGACGGGGGATAAGGTCAAGAAAGGGATAGACAGCCTGCACGAACGAGTGCACGGGGTTGACAGCAAGATAGAAAGAGTGGAAAATGCGCTATTAGTAATGCAGGCGCAGGTGTCCCGACCCGCCCTCCCACCCCAAGAGGCCGTAGTTCCGACAACAGTAGCGAATCGAGGGTATGGCAAAAGGAATCCGGCCAATGAGCAATGCAAGTATTGCACAATGGTCGGACATTTCGTGCGGACCTGCCCAAGACTCAACCATGATATCATGAGACAGAGATACAGCAGGTCCCTAAAAGGTGAAATTTTCGGGCCTCAAGGAGAACGCATAAATTGGAATTCGCCAGGAAGGATGCAACGTGCCGTCATCCTCCTGAATAATCTCGACATAGTTGCCTTAGAAACAGAACCGGTAGCTGACATTGTCTGAGACCAACCGAGGGGACGCGGACCACAGGCGAATTTCATCCTAGAAGGTAGTGGACAAGATAGGGTGAACATCACCACCCGGAGGGCAGGGGTGGAAAATAAACTTATTTGAGATACGGTAATGGAAGAGATCGCGGGGACCAGCGTAGATCAAGGAGAAATGGAGACCGAGAAGCCGGAAAAAGTATACGGAAAAGCCGGGGAGGAGGAGCCGGTAGACAAGGTAGTGGCGGCAAATAAGAAATTTAGGTACCAAATCTTGACACTGCCCGAGATCGACGATACCCTGAGTAAACTGCTAGGTACCATGGTGTTTGTATCCTTCCAGACCATGTTGCAAGCAAGCCCAAGATTGCTTAAAGGACTCAGGCAATTACTAACGTGCCGACGCGTAGAAGTAGAGGAGGCTCCGGAGCCGCAGGAGCAGGAAATGGAAGAGCTTCAGGCACCGCAAGGGGTCTTCAACCTCCAGAGGATCCCAGGGGATCTGGAGGACCTGGAGAAAGCCTTTGCAGACATCCGCTTAAGCCTACCGGACCGAGAGGGTGGTGAAGTCATGAGGGCGCCGCCCGGCACGAAGCTCAGTTTCCATGCCTTGCCCGTAGAAGAATTGAAAATCCAAATCGGAACCCACCATACAGTTGCATTAGTGGACGGTGGTGCGAAAATTACCCTCATACGACGAGACTTTGTGACAATTACGGGCTGCACCGTAAACAAGGAAGTGACGGGGAGTATCCGGGGAGCCGGCGGGGAGATTCCCTTCGCAGGGTATGTTACGAAATGCGCAGTTAGGGCAGGGATCAGGGAATCAATCTGGTCCTTCCAGCGGATGACCATGATGGAAGAAATGAACCATGACATAATTCTCGGAAGACCGTGGTGCGCCAATGTAGAGATGATAGGTATGCATCTGCATGATGGCACATACATGGTGGATATAGAGGACCCCGTTACCGGCCGTGGAGAACTCCTCCGACTCCTTGGGACAGGAGGGGATCCCCCGAAGGGCAAGTTGACAACCTGGTCGCCAACGTTCGAAGAAAGTGCGCGAAAGGGGGCATTCGCACAGATGGAAGGTATGAGGGAAAGAGTAGAGATTATGATTGAGGAGGCTTTTAGTAAGAAGGAGTGGATCAAGATGGGTCTGCCTCTGAAAAAAAAAAGAGGCAGGAGGATGAGGTACTAGGGGTTATGGTGGCGGAGAAGGAGGCGGAAGTCGAGCTTGGGGCCAGCCTGCCTTAATCAAAGGAAAATCGAAAGGAAACTTCGGAGGTAGTACTTAAAATTTCAAATTTGTTACAGCTCGTTAAGGCTATCAGGTACCACAAAGTGGGAGTGGACCCAGCGACGCTTGCCAAATTCGAAGATGAGGTCCGAAAAGGTTATTGTCTGAATAGGAAGGTAGTCAGTATCCAGCCCCGTGTCATGCAAATAGCAAGGCCAATCCCGACCGCTCATTTTTTAGGAGAACGATCCCAGAAGGGAGTGTGTGAAAATACAAACCTGTAGGAAAGAAAGCCAAGCCGGTCTCAATCCTAGTAGAAACATCAAGGGAAGAGGCCATGGGAAAGGAGGAAGAAATCCTGCGGATAATAAGGGAGAGGCGAGCAGCGGAAGGGCGTCGGATACCTGATGAGATAGCGGATACCATGAAGATAGGGGTAGAAGGGTTCCTATCGACGGAAGAGACTCAGTTGATAAGGAGGGCAAGCCAGGAATTTCACCTAGCCTTCTCCTTCAATGACCACCAGAAAGGTCGATTGGACGCAAAGCTAATTTTCCCCGTTAGGATCCACACGGTGAAACACGAATGCTGGAATGACAAGGGGTCCGCCTACGAGTTCGGAATAGTTGCGGAAGTCACTGAGTTGCTCAGGGCCAAAATAAATTCGTTCTTGGTCGAACCCACTGCATCCCCCTACATGAATATGGTTCGTTTTTCAGAAGCCCAACAAATCGCTGAGATGGATCCAGGACTTGCAGAAGCTGAATGCGGTTACGATCCGGGATGCGGAATCACTCCCACAGGCCGACCTACTGGCAGAGTCTCACGCCGGACGAAGCATTTACTCCCTGATAAATCTATATTCAGGCTATGACCAACTACCGCTCGACGCGAGGGATAGACTGTACACCGCCATGCACACCCTTGTAGATCAACTGCAAATGCAAATGACTCCTATGGGCTTCACAAATGATGTGGCAGAGGCACAGAGGAGGATGCTTGCGGTCGCTGCGAGCCCTACATAGATGACAATCCCATAAAAGGCGCGCAGGACAAGGATGAGACAGAGGTCCAGGCGGGCATACGAAAGTTTGTCTGGGATCATTTTTAGGATATCAAAGAACTCCTCCAGCGATTCCTGGTATATAATATCACCGCAAGCGGACTAAAGAGCATCCTGGCGGTCCCTGAAGTGACTATATTGGGGTTTCGCTGTGGGGCCTATGGAAGAAAACCGGACCCGACAAAGACGGATAAGATCTCTCAGTGGCCAACACCCCTGCACACCACGACGGAAGTACGAGCCTTCCTAGGGGTGGTTGGATTCTGAAGAATTTTTATCAAAGACTTTGCCAAGATAGCTGAACCTATCCGTGCAATGATTAGGGAAGGAGGGACCATGGAGTGGACTGAGGATAGGGAGGCGACAATCCAGACCCTCAAAGACGTCTTGTCTTCCGACCAAGTCACCTTGGCAGCGCCCTGCTTCAATGATGAAGTAGGACGACGCTATATCTTGGAAACGGACGGAGGACCTTTGACAGTAGGTGGAGTCCTGATACAAAGGAGCGAGGAAGCTAAGGAGAGGCCTATCAGATTTGAGAGCAGAACCCTGAACTCGGCAGAGCGGCAATTCAAGAAAGAGATCTTAGCCATTCTACATTGCCTTAAGACTTTTCAGCCATACCTATTTGGAAGACGATTTATCCAGAGAATCGATCCGACCAATGTCGTTGGGGCGTTGAAGAACTACAAGCCTATAGACCCTACCATTGGGAGATGGATAGGTTTTATATGGCAATTCGACTACAAGGTCGAGCGGATTGCGGGACTCCGGAACAGGGCAGATGGGCTAAGCCGGGTTTGCATCACGCCAGAGGGAGTAGAGGACACGGAGCCAATCGACGCCTTCCTGGAGTACGAAGGGGGGACTCTTGCCGTAGATAACGAGATGGCAGGCGCCACTCCTACAATGGATCAACTGCTGATTCAGACCCTGGAAAAGGGCCCGCCTGCGGTAATTGCGGAACTCAGGGAAGGACCAGTCACCACGATTAAGCGCAAAGATGAGAAGGATTCGTGGGGGTTAACGATCGGGCAGAGAGAAGAATTAATGGCAATGGCCGTTGAAGGGGGTCGGGATGCGGTGATGAATCTAGTAGAAACTTGAACGCGAAGAGAGCGGCAGTATCTAGTGAATCAGGCTCAGGAGGAGCAAGATACCGATCAGAAGGGACGATAATTTTTTCGTATACAGATGTATGATGGCATCTTTAGAGAAATCGGTCTGCTTCTTATACGAAATAAGCAGCCTATGCAAGTCAGCCTCAAGGTAAGGGAGGAAGCCGAGAAGTATGTTTTGAGGAACGGTCACCTATTCAAGAAAGAAGAAGGAATGATGCCTAGGCGTGTCATGTGCGGAAGGTCCAGGCAGTTGGACATAATTCAGGCAATCCATGATGGACTAGCCGGAGGGCACCGGTCATCCAAAGGGACCCTTGCAAAAATCGCGCCACTTTACTTCTAGCCAGGTATGGCAGGTATGGTGGCTACGTACTGTCAAACGTGTCTGATATGCCAAGAAAGGAGCTCCCCCAACGTCTTTGAGCCCCTCATACCTACCCGAGTACTAGGGTCGGGGCACCTGGTCCACCTCGACCTGGCAGTCATGCCTGTATCAACGAATGGATACAGGTACATCTTTGATGCAAGAGATAACCTCGGCGGCTACGTAGAGGCAGTAACTCTTAAGAGAAAGACGGGAAAGGGAGTGGCCGATTGGGTAGAAGATTTCTACCTTAGGCACTCCTTTGTGCGCAGGTTCATAGCGGATAATGGGACGGAGTTCGTCAACCAGGAGGTGTTGGGCAAACTTAAGACGCTGTGCGTACCTATCAAGATCATCGAACCGTATCACCCTGAGGCCAATGCACCAGTAGAAAGGGGGCACCGGACCTTGAAAAACACAATCGCTAAGTTGGAGGCCGATGACCTGGGAAACTGGTCTCGGTACCTTAAGCAGGCGGTCTTCTCAGAGAACATGATGCTGAAAAGGACAACGGGATGCATTCCGACAGAACTCTGGTATGGGAGGGAGATTGATTTCCCGGTGGAAGCCCTGGTTCCTACCTGGAACAGGCTAGATGACAATCCGCACATGTCTACGGAGGAACTAATTGCCGCACATTGCCAACAGGTCGTTGGAAATGAGGAAGCCTTGGAGGAGGTGGTTAAACGTGTAATGGATAGTCGAATGAGGGACAAAGCAAGGTGGGACCAGGTAAAAAACATCCGGAAGGAGCCGCTCCAGGTGGGAGAGAAGGTACTAGTTAGGAACTCGGCTCTTGAAAGCACGTGGTTTGGACAGCTGGGAAGAAGGTTCAAAGGTCCCTACAAGATCACTAAGAGGGTGGGATTGAACACGTTTGAACTTGAGGATCTCGGTGGTACTGGGATGAAAGGGTCATTTCCGTGGCAGAGGCTGGTCAGGTTTTTGAGCAAGGATCCGGTGGAACAATGATTACAAGAGGCTCAGGACAAGGAAACAGGGGAATTGACAACCTGAAAGACAGGCAACTGGCTATAATTCCGTACTGCCGCCCTGCGGAAGTGATCATGATTGCAGGGAATTGTTCGTTTTTGTGTCCTCTTTCCTGTGGAACATGGGGTGACTTCCTGGGCTGAGTATGAATGAGGTTGGGAGCCTGGGACAATGTACCATAGTTTTTGTGGGGCAATTCTGGGGACTGTCTACATGGGGAACCTATGTGTTGGAACAATGTGCCGAGGGTTCTGAGGGATAATAGGACTACCAATCATATGGGGTCAAGCGAGGGTTCTAGGGAAGCATGTAAATCTGCAAATGAAAGTGGGAGGGAATGTGTGCATATGAGGGGGTGCGGTGACTTGTTATGAATGAACAAGACCAGGGAAGAAGAAAAACAACAAGAAAAATAAAGATGGAGTTTGGAAACGAGAACGACAGCAATGCCATCAACAGGCCTACTGGGGAACAAGCAACAAGACAGGCCGGAGAATCAAGCTCCAGGAAAAGAAAGTTGTATGTGGGATTTGACTTCAACTTGGTTGTGAACAGAGGGGGAAGGAAGCAAGGGACCAGGGGGGACCCTCACCCTTGAGAGAGGGGGAACCGATAATTCTCCCATCTGACAGTGACACTAGTAGTGAGGAGGATGGGAGCCTAGGGAAGAGGCAGAGGATGGAAGAGGAAGAGCCCAACGAGGTCATAGACCTTAGCAGTGAGGAGGAAAAAGATGAGGTCACAATGCCCACAAAGGAAGTTCAGGCAGGGGAGGAGGATCCTGGTGAGGAGAAGGACAAATGGATAAGAGAGTTCGGACCATCTTGCACTGACTGGTTCGATCAATGGGTCAGTATTCTGTGGTATGAGTGGGCAATGAAAGAGAAGGAAAAGCTGAGCAGAGGAGAGGACATAGCGCCAACAACATTTTTCACAGAAGAGGCGCTCCTACGGTTGCAAAGGCCAAAGAGAGAGATGCAGCAGGAGATCGACAATCGTGCAAGGGAGGCTCAACACGGGGCAACTGGGCAGTAAAAGGGTAGTAGACATAACAGGGAATAGTTAGTGGAGAGGGCTGGTACCTGGACAGGCAGAACTGCCATTTTGAACTTTGCATTTGAACTTTATGAGAATGGACTACAATGGGACAACTTCCTATTTGGGATGACCAAGGACTGGGTAATTAGTGCTACTTTGCATAAATAGTTGTTTCTTCAGAAGGACGTGAGGACCGATAGACCTGAGACTAGGATCATGAACGACTGGAAGGGAAGAGAGGGGAAGACCTAGATGAGACAAGTCTGTAATGTTGCTTTTGCTTTCGAATTTGTCTTCTTTTTTTTCGGGAAAAACCGCGACAAAGCTGCTCTTTGAACTGGGGAAGTAAACAGGGACTAGGTAGCCAGTGCTACTTTGCATAACTACTTGCTTCTTTGGAAATGCGGGGATCTTGGATGGTGAGAGACGAACTGGGAATGGTTAACTCTGTTTGGGAAAGGGTAAGAGCTTGTGAATCGTTGAGATTAAAGAAAGTCTATGACTGAAAAGTTTTTGTGCAATGCGTGCCTATTGGATGAATGAGTCATGGTATGAGTTTCTGTGAGAAGTTAGGGGACCTATGGGTAAAGAGGCATGAAGAATCGTCTTCCCTAGGATCCTAATCCAACCTATCCCGGACAAGTCCAGAACAGTGAAACGACATGAGAGGTCAGAGAGAGGAAACATTGATTGAGTAAGCATTTTCAGTAATGGTTGAACGACCAGGTGGACTAGTGCTGCTTGGGGTTGCAATTCTCAATTCGAGCACTAGACGCTAAGTCGGATGTATGTATGGACATGAGAATGATGATTGACACGAGACAAAAGGCAAAGGCATGCGTAAAACCCAAGAGATGGCCACCTTCTAACCTCCGAGACAGAGATAGGATCCGTGTCCTCGAGGCCCACCCCCTCGGGCGCTAATAATAGAAATGGATAAGGATGACCCTAACCAGGCTGTCCAATTGAAATGGATAAGGATGGCCCTAACCAGGCTGTCCGATTGAAATGGATAAGGAAGGCCCTAACCAGGCTGTCCGAAGGAAATGGATAAGAACGACCCTAACTAGGTTGTTCGGAATGACCCGTGACAAGGGTCATTCTTTGGAATTGGCACTGGGATCCCCTTGCATGATTGTTTGAGACGGATAAGATTGAGAAAAACTGAGCTTTGGAAAGGATATTGGACTCAGCTTTGGAAAAGATATTGGACTCAGCTTTGGAAAAGATATTGGACTCAGCCTAGGAAGAGATACTGGATTGAGCCTTGGAATTGGACTGAGTCTTGGAATTGGACTGAGCATTGGAATCGGATTGAGCTTTGAACTTGGATTGAGCTCTGGAATTGGAATGAGCATTGGAAATTGCATTGCATAAACAGGGGACCCTAAGCAACTTGAAATGAACTTGGAAATAACATTGAAATGAATTTTCTCTTTCCTCTAGTCCTTGGCCTCAATAAGAGGGGGATACCGGTGCTTGCACCACGACCTCAAGACCTCTATCCCTTAAAGGGAAAAGTCTCAACGCGACCTGTTCCTCTTATAAGGACATGCGGGTTAAAGGACCAAGGCACCCACCACTTGGCTCGGTGCGGGACGTCCATAACTGACCCCAACAATGAGCTCTAATCGGGAAGTTCAAATTGCGCCTCGTGTTGAGAGCCTAAACGTCAAAGGGTGAGAGAACCAAATGGGCGAGAGAGTCATTCTTATTCTAATCTATTTTGCTACTCTCCAACCAAACGCTACACCATAGAGGGGTGGCATGACCCTTTGGGTCGGACCTCGGCTGCCCGCACTAAGTTGGGAAGCATTGTCCAAGGGGGGAGGCTAGTGAGGTACCGGGTGGAGGCCGCCACCACCACGGGGCATTGATACTGCCCTGCCGGAACATTACAACCGTTTCGGGACTAATTGCGAGGTCTTCGTAACTGCACTCGCGGACTAATAGAGAGCCCCAACTCTCTTGAAAGGAAGAGGCCGGGTCCAAAAAACTACCACTCGGGAGGAACGATTCGCGAGGAAAGCTCTTACGGCTAGACGAGGCCCTGGGAGGTTTGGACTGGACCTACCTGCCAGATATGAGGAAGAACCTCAGTATTGGTGTTCGCCACGTAATAGAAAAAGGTCGGATCGAGTAGGAGGATGAGGCGCCACCCGCTGGGGAGGAACTTATCATTCTTCATTTTGTGAAGCGGATGGGCTTGTGTCCTTGACTGGTCGGCGGGCCAAAGGTCTGCGTACCTCCGAGTGAGAACCAGTCACGGACAAGGGGGCTTGGCAAGGTGCCCAAAACAGAAAAGACTTGTGTAATTGGCTTTGCATGAGCCCATGAAAGGGGGCCTGGCAAGATGCCCATGACAGAAAAAGACTTGTGTAATTGGCAAGAGGTCCAGAGCAGAAAAGACTTGAGCAAGTGACTTGGTATGAGCTTGAGAAAGGAGCCTTGCAAGACTTGTATGACTGACTTTGCATGGACCCGAGAAAAGGACTGGCAGGCTGGGAAATGAATGAGTAATTGGCTTGCATGGGCTTGAAAAGGAGGTCTGACAAGGTGGCTAGAAATAGATGTATAAGGGATGAACCGAGCTTTGCGCCGGGAAAGGTAATTAAGCAAAGAAGCAAGAAAGGACAAAAGGGTGATATGCATGCGAAATTGGCAAGGATCGGGAGAAATGTATGTAGATTTGGCTAGGCCTAAGCTTCGGGGAGGAGTGACGAAAATTGAAAACATGGATTGCACGGGCCGAAGGACCCGAAGGAAAATGGTATTGAAAACATGGATTGCACGGGATAGGGCCTGAAGGAAAGAAGTGTTGAAAACATGGATTGCACGAGTCGAAGGACCCGAGGGAAAATGGTATTGAAAACATGGATTGCGCGGGCCGAAGGACCCGAAGGAAAGAAGTTTTGAAAACATGGATTGCACGGGCTGAAAAACCCGAAGGAAAGAAGTATCGAGAACATGGATTGCACGGACCGAAGGACCCAAAGGAGGGAGGCATTGAGAATGATGGTAGTCGAGAATGGACCAGCTGGCATGAAATGAAAAGGGAAAAGATCTGATGTCCTAAGAGTAATGAATAAGACAGGAAAAAAATGATGCCCTAAGAGTGATGAATGAGGAGAGAAAAAGTCTGTAAGAAGTTTGTGGCCTTCCATACCCTCCTCCGCCCCAAGGGCGGAAAACTAAAGAAAAACTTGAGAAAGGAATGGGAAAGGACAAAAAGAACCCTGGCAAGCTAACTAACCGTCTCACCCCACCCCCTCTCCCCTCCGTCTACATCTCTGAATCCCTACTAACTGAGGACTGGTGCGCGATGAGGACATCGTGAATGAGTGGGGGGAATGTGTCGGGACTGGTGAGTCCCGAATGACTTCCCGTCACTCAAGAGACTGTATATGGCCAATATGTGCACGGCAGAGAAAACCGGAGGCAAGAAGGAGGAAAGGATCGAAGGCATAGGCACAAACACTAGGAACCCGGAGGCTGCCCAAAGTCGTTGGGACCATTGAACCGATAAGAAATCGACGGAACGGAAGGCGGCAAAGGACTACAAAAAAATGACAAAAGCGACCCTTCCCCCGAAAAAGGAGAAGGACCACCGAAAGAAGTAATGACGTAGGACGCGCGCCGCAAGAAAAAGGGAAGGCAGACGACGACATGTGAGGTACCAACACATGAAGACGTAGCCCAGACCAAGGGGGGCCACCGGGACGCAACGTCAAGGAGACCAAGGGACCATGGGCCAAGTGAGGACTCGCGTCCGGGGAGGACGGTGCATGGGACGCAAGAAGGACAAGGGAGGGAGGCCGCCATAAGGCGGGAAAATGACGAGAATGTCAGCGGGACCATCGGCGGGAGAAAATGTCGGAGAGACAAAGTGTCGGGGACCGCGTGAGACTAAGTAAAAATACGGAACGAGCGGGACAGAGTGCCGGGGACCATATGGGACTAAGGAAGAATGTGGTACCGGTGGGACAAAGTGTCGGGGACCACACGACACTAGGCAAAAATGTGGTACT